TTTCCTCAGGGGTACGGAGATTGTCTCTCCACATGGTATGCCTGTGGACCTACTAGACCGGCTTGTTATCATTCGTACCCTCCCCTACTCAGTCGATGAGATCATCCAGATAGTCGCTATCAGAGCCCAGACGGAAGGCCTTATTGTGGGGGAGGAAGCTATGGAGCTTCTTGGGAAGGTTGGCCATGTTACCAGTCTGAGGTGAGATCCAATACACAGCTGTATGCTGCGTGTGGGGCATTGAAATATGTGAGAAAAATCTCACCTTCTACTCGGCTAAACGGATATAGAATCGAGACAAATATGCACAGAAATTCTGAGGAAATTTTTGGAAATTCTCGGGAATTTCCAAAATGCAGTGAGTAAACTTCTGGGCTCAACTGAGGAAATCAAAAACGTATTCTAACACTGCTGATTATTATACTGTTTAATGCAGTACCTCACAAAAAGGATTAGTCGGAGTATTATCTATGATCTAGCAAAGGAACTACTCGATCTTGTTCTTCTTATATATAGTATCGTAATGAGCAGTGGGCTTATTATTGCAGGTACTGTCTACAGTTGTTGGCACCAGCAGCAGTAGTAGCAGCAACATATGGTAGGGAGAATAGGGTGGAGAAGAGCGACATAGGGGAGATAGATGGATTGTTCTTTGATGCTAAGAGTAGTGCTAGGATGCTTATAGAGCATAAGGATAAGTACATATCATAGCCTCACTTTACCCTACACGTATTAGTAACAGTAGACTTATTATGAGTGTTATCCATCATAAGAGGTATTGTGTTGGGAGGCAGCCAGCAGCCAGTGACTCTAGTGGATGCAGTACCTGGCATGCTCGAACGGAATAGTCTTACTCTGCGAAAGGTGTTATGCCCTGGTCTACGTTGTGATGATTGGCATCTTTCGAGATGTGAAATGAGGCCTACTATTGTGGGGATCGGATCAGGTGGGCAGTATTGGTTGCCCTTTTGCATAACTTGGGATCTGAGTATATATTTATTGTGTATGGATTTCCCTGCCAGTGGGCTCTGAGTATTACGTATAACGGTGTTGAGGTGAGCAGCTCTTTAACATGCATGCCAATTGTCCAATGATTTATCTAGGATGTAGACCACTGTTCTAATGGCGTGAGATTTGAAAGTGGGTAGTGTTATACTGCATCAAAAGTAAGTAGCGTGTTTATCGGAGTCATGGTAATGTCAAGGCGATTCTGGTGGTTCCATTTGGTCTTGAGTTGGGATGAGACTAGCGCTGAGATCAAACGTATGGAGGCCACACGACACCATGCGACCCGTACCGTACGAGGTCACTTGTTAAGATCATACGCCCTTGAGAGACTTTTTATGGTTACCGCGTCTACGGAGGGGTTTTATCATAGATGTTCGGATATGCGATGAAAGCCCCACGCATGACGGTGGTTGGCAGTGGTGGAAGTCGTGGAGTAGCTGGTAGTAGTTAGCCCATAGTTAGCTTTATTATGACTCTTCTACAGCTTATCTACAGTGGCGTTGAGTGTATGAGACTTAATGATGATGATGCAGTGACGATCTCGTTGTTGTTGTTTTTTCTATTACTATGGCCACGTTCATTGCTGA